GCATAAGTTACAAATTGGGACCCAGCTAAATGAGGCAAATGATGTATTTTTCAAACTATCCCGACCCACCCCTAGGTGCCACCCCCTCACTTCTAATCTCATCATTGCCATTTTGAAACCATTGCCATTTTAAAGCTAAAAATAAAAAATGTAGATAATAAAGCCTAAAATCTACAGCCTAATTTTGGGATAACGCAAATTCTTCCTTATCATCTATTTTTAAACGGTTTTATTTAGCTCGACCCGTACGGTATTGATTTATTTGTTTGTTTATTTGGGTCAAAATTAGAAATTGAAATTTAAGTACCTTCCTGTTGTCAGATTGATCTGAAATTTGGTACACACCTTTAGTTCCGATGACAATACAATATAGTAATATCAATAACATTGTAAATCTAAGATGGCCGCCGATACAAAATGGCGGATTTCATATTTTTCCACAACCCCCTCAATATGGGTATCAAATGAAAGGGCTACACAAGTAGAATACTGTGATTATGACAAAATTTAAAATCCAAGATGGACGTCGTTACAAAATGGCGTATTAGGTGAGGGCATGAGCAGTCGTGTCCAGAACAGTTGTGTCCAAGATTGTGTGACGTTAGAAGGACAGATAAAAAAAATAGGTGATTAGATGTATCTACGTAGTTAGCGGTAGCTTTACCACCCAAGTTAAGGTAATAGGTTAAAATGTGCTGAGGACTGTATGGCATTAGGGTGGCTAAAAATGTAATGTCGCAAGCGTTTCCCCTCAAGATTGGGCGCCTCTTGTTGTATATTATAGCTTTGCCCCTCTACTGGACCTCTGGGGTCGACCGTTAAAATGTCCATTACTCGTGGGAACAACATGGAAACAATAAATAAAAACACAAACAAAAATAAAAACGAAACTGCTACACAACGAAAAAGAAGGCTCGAAAAGGCGAAAGAAAAGTATAGAACGAAACGTGCAAAAGAAAGTGAAAATGAAACTTATAGTCGACTACAGAAACGAAGAGAACGGTTAGCAACAGAAACACCTGAGCAACATGATGCCAGGTTAATAGCACAACGTGAGAGACAAAGGCAGCTGGTAGAGTCAGAAACACATGAGCGTCATGAGTCCAGGCTAGCATCACAACGTGACAGACAGAGAGTTTGTTAGCGGCAGAAACACCTGAGCGTCATGAGTCTAGGCTGGCATCACAACGAGAGAGACAAAGAGAGTTGTTAGCGTCAGAAACACCTGAGCGTCAGATTGTAATAAATTATCAGGTAAAAACCATGTAATAATGATGCACTAAATGAATTAAATAGAATGAGAATATTCGGTAGGTATTTCCGTTAAATACTAAAAACTAGAAAATAAAAAATCGGTAAAAAACTTTTAAAGTTAAACGGTTTTATCTTATGTGCACTGAAAACTAGAAAATAGTAATAACAATTGGTATTTTGAACTTCTAGTTCAGAAATATTTTAGTACTAGGCAGAATAGCTTTTAGGCATATTAGACTAAAATAAAAACGTGGGGCCCCTCTGAAATCCTACCTATGGCAAAGCATATCTTTATACTTTGGTAGATCATGAGCTCGGCGTTCGCTGGTGAAGCCGCCACGGCTGGTTATTGATTGTCAAAATCTCCAGTTACGACTATAGTAAGTCGATGCAATCCACACTTAGTATAGAAGAAACGAGGGGTGTCTCACTATTGGAATTACATGTACATTTTCTTGGCAGTCGCTGGCAGTCATTGGCAGTCTTATGGCAGTCGCCTCTAATAATTACATGGCAGTCATAGGCAGTCTTCTTCATAGTCATTGGCAGTCGCTTAGCACTGGAAGGATATTTTGGCAGTACGTGTACATTTTTTACCCGAGTGAGACACCCCTCGAGAAGAAAGTATTACAGCAATAGTTAATGGGCCCCACTTATTTTAGTCTAAAATGCCTAAAAGCTATTCTGCCTAGTACTAAAATATTTCTGAACTAGAAGTTCAAAATACCTAATTGTTATTATTATTTTCTAGTTTTCAGTGCACATAAGATAAAACCGTTTAACTTAAAAGTTTTTTTACCGATTTTTTTTACTATCAACAAACAGGAATCTTAAAACGGCATATCTTTGCGTTTTTGCACTGTCTTTTATCGGTTTTCAATTGTTTGCAAATTTGGTGGTATTTTAAACCTTTATTTAATTCGCTTATTTGAAAGAAAAATGGTTTATACTGTGGAAGAAAGAATTCAAATAGTTTTTCCTTATGATGCTGAAGGCATGTGCTATTTGAGAACGGCCCGTGCTTTCAATGAGAGAAGTCCGGAAAAAACGTAAGTCACTTTTATATTAGAGATTTGATTCTAAAGTTTCAAGAAACTGTATTGGTCAAAAATAAAAAATATCAGGGTCCAGGGTACTGAATGAAGGCAGATGGAAGTTATTGGTCAGGTATCGGTCAATCCAGAAGCATTAACATGCCAGATGGTATCAATCACAGGTATACCTCGAATATCTATCAGAAGAGTATTGAAAATGCACAAATTCCATCCCTACAAAATGAAGATTCTGCAGGAACTTGGCAACGACGATCGAGATATAAGGATTCAGTTCTGTGAACTAATGACAGAGGAAATTCGAAGGGAACCTTCACTCACTAAAAATATTAGTTTTAGTGATGATGAGTGCTCATTTTTTTTAAACAGAAATGCGAATAAGCAGAACTGCAGATACTGGAGCGATGAGAATCCGCATATTGTTGTTCAAAGACACACCCAACTTCCCCAGAAGCTCAATGTTTGGTTCGGAATACCAGGCGATAAAATTATAGGTCCATTTTTCATCGACGGAAATTTGACTGGTGATGCTTATGTGGAAATGCTGAACACTGATAGAGCCAGCCATTGTAAATGAGGTTGAAAATCAAAGAGATTTGGAAGGAAATTTAACTCTTAATGAAGACCTCATACACTTTCAGCAAGATGGAGCCCCACCGTATTATTCTATTGTCACAAGGCGGTGGTTGGATAGATATTTATCCAAGGCAATGGATTGGCAGAAGGGGTTCAATCGAGCGGCCGCCATGGTCACCTGATCCCACTCCTTTAGACGTTTTCTTGAGGGGTTACGCTAAATCCATAGTCTACAAGACAAAACCAGATTCGTTGCAAGAATTGCGGCAGAGGATAACTGAAGCCATGTCGAAATATTCCAAGAGAGACTTTCCAAAAAGTGAGAGAAGAATTTGAAAATCGTTTGTATTTTTGTATGGAACAAAACGGTTGTCATTTTGAGCAATTGTTAAAATAAATTATCATTTTAAATTTCTTTTAAATTGTGACACCTACATTTTTTATTACTACTTACCAGTAATTAAGTTGAAGTATGACCATCGTTTAGCAATTTCAATTAGCTTTCCAAAGAAGTGTCACCAGTGGGGTATCGCTATCTTGAAATTAGAAGTGAGGGGTGGCACCTAGGGGTGTGTCGGGGTGGTTTAAAAAATACCTAATTTGCCTCATTTAGCTGGGTCCCAATTTGTAACTTGTGCTGAAAAAATCACTTTTTTCATTAATGTCCACCTAATGTTTCGTGTATGGGGTAGTTTTTCAATTTCACCCTAAAAACTCTATGATCATCGTTTAGCATTTTTCATGGGCTTTCCAAAAAGGCGCCAAAAGTGGGGTGTTGCCATTTAAGATTTTTAAGTGAGTAGGAGCGCCGCCTAAGGGGTAGGTCGGGGTGGTTCAAAAAATACGTCATATGTTTTCCCCCTCGATATTATAGAAACGGAATTTTTTATTTTTTTGATATCTTTTTTGGTTTAAAAATTATAGCCATTGTAAGTTTTCAGTGGCCCATCCTGTATATCACTGGAATCACAAAACTTCAATCTATTTCCGTATTGTAACGGAATTTTAAATTATGTCGTTATTTTCGAGAAAATTTAGTCAGAGACTTTTCTGCATGCGGTCTTGATCTTCAATTTTGTCCTTCTGGCGACGTACTTCTAAATCTTCAACAATTTTCTCCAACCGTTCTTGTCTAATTTCTTGATTTTCTAGAATTTTCTGAAGCCGGTCCTGTTCTTCTTGTTTGTCGTGCTGTCGTTGAACTTTGAAATCTTCGAAAATTTTCTCAAGCCGGTCCTGTTCTTCTTGTTTGTCATGCTGCCGTTGAGTTTTCAGACTATCTTCAGACTATCTTCAGACTGCTCCAACTGTCAAAGCGCGGGCCTTATATACCCCCTGGCGATGGTTACATAAGGAATATTTTGTTGATGTTTGACCATCAAAATCTTAAAAATAAAGAAGTTGTCTAAAAATGTGCTTCAATACGGATAAAGTATAATCCTTTATCTTTAATTTCCTTCTTTATTTGTTTAAAAATACCTAGCCAGTTTTACATAAAACGTTAAATGCCGAACGCTTATTTTGCTACTTTTTCGGACTAGTGAAATGGACTCTAATTTAAAGATATTTTATTTAGTTACATATTATCATCTAGAGAGTTAACTATTCCACGTTTAATATTGTTATTGATTGAAGTATATCCGAACTAAATAGGTGATTATTGTTATCGTTCTCTCGAATAGTGAAAAAACTCACTAGGACAGAGGCAGTTGAACCAGTTGATGTTAATAAAATGTTAATAAAAAATGGAATTAAATAATTAATAACGCCAAATCGAGAAATCTTGAATAACAAAATCAGATTTTTTTCTTGAAGGACCATTACTATTACGTTTTGGCCTTACTCATTTACACCCTGAATGTAAAATGGTTTTTGTAGACTATAATTTGTGTACAACTGAAATGAAAAAAATATTCGTCTATAATTTTATTATTTCTATTGTATGGTATAATACAAATACTTTTATTACTACTGACTTAAATAACCAAATAACGAATTAAGTGAATCGGGAGACTAACAAATATTGACACATATATGAAGCATCCATATAGATAATATAGAAGAATGCCTATATAAATTTATTTCGCTTTTCATTAGATCTTAAAAATAAGTGTAAGACTGAATTTTCAAAAATGCGCCTATTGTGGAGCTGTATTTTCGTATTTAATTTTCTTTACGTTCTGCAGTACGTCTCTTGCATAGTGAGTTAACATCATTTAAAAGATATTTATGTATGTGACAGTTAAAGTGCTTGAAGTAAAAACTTGACTAGATAGACGCTGAATAGTTTATAAATTGTCAAGTCGTGTATTTTGATGGAAAAAACATTTTTTTGTGAAAAGGAATTTTTGATTTGCTTTAAACCATTCCTGTTTTAAAATATTTATAGGAAAAATAAATACAAAAAGTCGTGATTATGCAAACATTTTCTAAAAAAGCAGTTGTTTGAAGTATGAAAATCACTATTTCGCATATAAATGGTTTTGCATCAAAACAACCAGAAATTTGGCTAGTTTGTAAACTATATAGTTTCCAGAAACTAGCACAGAAATACTGTGTCCGTAATATTAAACTGATCTGTTCTAGGACTATAGTCCTATTGTAACAATACCTGATGGACAAGTAAGAGGTATAGAAAACCAAACCATTGGTGAAAATAGAACATATTATGCCTACAGAGGTATACCATATGCCCAGCCTCCAGTAGGAGATCTAAGATTTGCTGTAAGTTATTTTTTTGTTTATTCTAATAAATTTAAAATTTATCCATTATTTTTGTGTTACTTATATAACCCATTAATTTAACAAATGTCCATCTTTCCACATGTTTTCAATATAAAATTAGGAGATAAGGAGTCTCGGATGTATTGTAACAATATTTTTTTTTATATCTATTCTAAGAGTAAGAATATATTATACTAGCGTGTACCAGCGACTTCGTTCGCGTCGAATTAATCATTTGTAATGGTGATGATAAAGCAAAGCAAGAATTTCCATTAACATACAAACTGGATAAAAATTTTCTCACATTTATGTCAGCATGAGAAAAATCAATATGGCGATATTATTATATAACTTGGTAATATTTGAGGGGAAGTTTCATCTCGTTGGAATTTGACTTTCGAAAAATCCGTTTGCCAAAAATAAGCCTTTTACGTCAAGCAGTTTAAGCAGAATCGGTATGATTTTTTAAAAAACTTCAAAATATGTAAAAAGGACAAATAAATTATGCTTGTCCAAGCGTTTTCCCGAAAGACTAACCGTTTTTTAAATAACAAATATTGTAATATTTGAGAGGCGTTTTCACCCTCTTGGAATTTGAGATTCGAGAAACCCCTCCTTATCGAACCTCTACACCCCACAGTCAATCCGTTTGCCAAAAATCAGCTTTAAACGTCAAGCAGTTTAAGCAGAATCGTGATTACTCAATGGTCATATTTTATAAAACGCCCTGTATAAATTTATAAAAAATCTTAAAATATGTAAAACAACAAAATAAAATATACGTGTTTAAGAATTTTTCCGAAAAACTCACCGGTTTTTAAATAAAATATATTTTAATATATGAGGGATAGTTTCACCCCCTTAGAATTCGAGTTTCGGAAAATCCCTTCTTATCGAACCTCTACACCCTAAAGTCAATTTGTTTTCCATAAATCAGCTTTTTACGTCAAGCGCTTTAAGCAGGATTGTGATTAATCATTGACCAGATTTTTCGAAACACCCTGTATACATTTTTAAAAAATCTTAAAATATGTAAAAAGAACAAAATAAAATATACGTGTTTTAGCGTTTTTTTTCGGAAACTTGACCGTTTTTAAATAAAAAATATTGGGTGCCTGCTCACCAAGGGATAGAAGGCAATGAAAAAGCAAATAATCTAGCTAGGAAAGGAGCGAACACTCCACTAACTGGACCAGAACCGTTCTGCTTTCCAAGTGGTAACCAACTCAATGCGGAACTCAAGAACTTGGAAGATTCCATCCGCAACCTGGAATGGAAATCTTGCAATGGTCTAAGACACTCGAAGAAGTTTCTGAGGGCTTATGATCAAGAAAAATCACAGACCTTCCTGGGTCTGAGTAAGAACAATCTTCGGATTGTCACGGGGTTTTTAACAGGACACTGTCTCCTCAATGGACACCTCAGTAGATTGAAACTAAGAGGAAACGGCGAATGCAGATTCTGTGGGGAAGATGGGGAAACACCAGTACACCTCATCACTGAGTGCGCCGAGACGACAACCATTCGTGCCATGAATTTTGGTACGACTGATATTGGAGATGGAGAACTACCCTCTATAAAACCGTCCCAGATAGTGGCTTTTGTCAAAGCCCTGGGACTGTATGATGAGTTATGATTCAAGAAAGGGGGACACAATGGATCTGTAAGGTCGAAGTGATTAACCCCCCTCCCACTCATTCTAAATTCTAAAAAAAAAATTCTAAATAAAAAATATTGTAATATTTGAGGGGTGGTTTCACCCTCTTGGAACTGGAATTTCGAAAAATCCCTTCTTATCGAACCTCTACACCCTAGAATTAATCTGTATGCCATAATTGAGCTTCTTACAATACGTTGAGTGGTTTGAGCAGGATCGTGATTAATCAGTATGTCAGTCACTTAAGGATTTTATATATTAGCACAGATAACATTATATGTTTTCTGTGATATTAGTATAGATTCTCTACTCTTTGTCTATACTATCTAGCGAGTTTATTAGAGTACGAATCATAACTAAGAACATGTTACGAGCGTCATCACTTCTTTTTATAGATGGCAATCGCCTTTAGAGCCGGAGATTTACGTCTCTTTTTAGTCTTCTGTTTCATTGGCGAAGTTTGACATATTTTTTTGATTTTCTTTACGTTAAAAATTATTTTAGCTTTTTACTTAATATTCGAAAAAGTATAATTTTTGAGATACACAAATCTATTTTCAAAAGTACATCATTTTTGACAGGACTTTCTGCAAAATTTTTAATCAATGATATTAGAATTCGATACACACAGAATTGTTCGAACTTATTAATGAAATATTGTATGAAAAAAATGACGCTCAGTTGGCTTGAAAATTATTTAAAAAAGGCTTCCATTATTCTCAAAGAGACTTGATTTATGAATGTAAAAGAAGCAAAACTTTGAAGCGAGACTTTGAGTCTTTTGAATTCTTTTGGACTTGGGAATCATGATCGATAACATATTCCATATAATATTAGGTACATATAAAATAACAGTGGTCTTTATTTCCATCTTTGACGCAATCTGTCAAGCTATCACTTTATACTATCGTTGACTGAAAGAATTGGGAAGATACGCAACCTAATGGGCAAATTTGTGACAAGGCTGATTTTATTTTCCCTTGCGACTAAAGTGCTGTACGGTGGAGCCTCTACTCGTTCTGCAGCCAACGCATAAAACACTCATTTTCTCTAATTCGGCTAGCGAAGGCATTTCGAAGACGGTGTGGAACAGAAAGCGACAGTGTTGCCATATTAAAATGTGTAATATCTGTAATACGTTTGACGAGAATCATTGTGTTTGTTGGCTCGAGACGCAGGCAAAAGCCACAAGTCGAACGAGTGTACAAAGAAGTTTTCGAACAAGTTTTTTACGCTATTTTTTCTACGACTACAAATTAGCAGCAGACTCACTCAGTTTTTGCCAGTTTTGTGAAATAATTTGCGATGTAATGATAACAATTTTCTGACGGCTGCGTTGCTTTTGGCGTTTCAGCTAAACATTGGAGGTTAAAAATGTTAAAATTGGCACATGTCGTGTGCAAAATGACACATGTCGGGCGCTAAATCCTTAGCACACAACAGGTCTGTTCGTTTTCCTGTTATTATCGATCCTGAATCGTCCTAGAACTCTCCAGCGCATGCGCAAATGAAATAATGTCTTCATATTTCCTTCTGCGCACACGCATCACAATTCTAGGACGGTTCAGAATCGGTAATAACAGGAAAACGAAAAAAGCTAACAGTTTGCAAAACGCCAATTTCAGATCGAGTTTTCCATGTGCCAAACTGCATTTTCTAGGCTAGTCGTAGAAAAATAATTTCTTTTTAAAAATCATCTTTTGCATCACACAGAATTAAGATTTTGGCGTGTCTGGGTCTATACTAAGATCTACCGAAACATAGAAAATTTATTTAAGAATTAATTAAACGTACAAAATGTCGCTGGTTATTATTTGAGTTATATTAAAAAATACACGAGGCGTAAATTAATAGGCTTATTATTGTATAATTATAATTACTAAGTTATTTAACGTTATAAAAATAATTGTCTTAATTTTATTTCAATGGATTTGTCAAATGTCGATAAAAATTTTGACGTATGTCAAGATAACACAAACATTTTGACGGAAATTGTATGAAACGTTTGTTTAAGGATTATTAAATTATATTTCTCATTCTTATAGACATAGACTGTTGTTTAATATTAGTAGAATGTTTATTTTTAACGCTTAAAACACTAATCTACAAGTATACATATAATAAATTTATTTTTGGACTACTATTATTAATGATTAAAATATTATTCTAATAAAAAATATACTTTCTGATTTTTCCTTAACTAATAAAATCTTTGAAATATGTTAAAAATGATCGAAATTATTATATCTGTCCAGAGTGTCCAGCCAAAGAAGGGTCGTTATCTAGGGTCGTATTTTACTGTAAACTAGTGTAAAAAATTAACAATTATATAATCAAACCGGCAACTTAAAACTAGTCCCAATTTCAAAGTTGGATTTCTCGCGAACCACTCATTAGATTTTGATGATTTTTTTTTAATTGTAAATTAATTCCTTTTTATTCCGAATTTATTTTGAGCATATACAGGGCACAACAATAAGACACGATGTTTTTTGCTCGGAGTTTGTAACACCCTGTAGGGTGCAACAGCTGTAGTAGCTATTTCTAAATCAAATCACATTGTAGCCTCATCTTTTGTGAGCATTTTGTTTTTTTTTTAATTACGACTTATCTCTCTTTTTATTAGAGATACGCTGCTTTAAAACGAACGTCTCTGAAAAATGCTTCACAGGCAGAAAGTTTTATGTGTAAATAATCAAAGCATTTTTTCGAGACGTCGATACTAACAGAGATAATGTCGTGATTAAAAAAAACAAAATGCTCACAAAAGATGATGCTACAATGTCATTTGATTTAGCAATAGCTACTATATACAGCTGCTGCACTCTACAGGGTGTCACAAAGTTCGAGCAAAAAACTTCGTCTTATTGTTGTACCCTGTTGCTGCTCAAAATAAATTCGGAATAAAAATTTCTGACGTAGCATCCGTTAAGAATGAATTAATTTACAATTTAAAAAAAAATCATCAAAATCTAATGAGTGGTTCGCGAGAAATCCAACTCTGAAATTGGGACTAGTTTTTAGTCGCCGGTTTTTTTTGTCGGTGAGTGTATAATGTAGTGTAGCATTAACTACGAATATTAGAGCTTAGAATATATTAGCTGGAATTATAAAAAATGATATTTTTTGTTATAGGCACCAGTTAAAAATGATCCTTGGTCTGGTGTTCTAAATGCCACTGGACAAAATGATGGATGTACTCAGATGAGCTCAGGTATTGCAATAATAGCAACAGTATCTGACGTTACCGGATCAGAAGATTGCTTGTATATTGACGTATATACAACAGATGTAAGTAAATTAAATTTTTCTTTTAATCCTAAATAAATTATTTAGTAGCAAAAGTAATTTTAATAATAAAAATATAAATAATACCGAGCTATCTGTCGGTAACTTCCACTTTGGAGTAAATTATCATTGACCTGTTTGAGTTATTTTTAAAATTTTTAGTTAAACTCAAGTCTTCCAGTAATGGTGTGGTTCTTTGGAGGAGGATTCAATACCGGTTCATCAAATTCTACAGGACAGCCCGATTATTTTCTTGATAATGATGTTGTTTTTGTATCGTTCAATTATAGATTAGGAGTATTTGGATTTTTAAGGTAATTAGACACTTTACCTTGCACTAAGCAAATTTTTATGTTATGATTTTATTAGTACCGAGGATGACGTTATACCAGGAAACTGGGGACTGAAAGATCAAGTACTAGCTTTGAAATGGGTTAAGGAAAATATAGAATATTTCGGAGGAGATTCTGAAAATATTACAATATTTGGTCAAAGTGCTGGAGCTGCGTCTGTATCGTATATGATCAACACGAACTTAACTGAAGGTATTTGCCGGTTTTTAAAATTAAAAATAGTATATCTACATAATCTACAAATTGGTTTGTCATAGTATTGTGGAATGCATGATATTTTTCCTTAAAATTTTACTTGCTAATAATAATTATTTTAAACTGATACAAAAAAGTACTACTCGCGTTTATGAAATTAATCGGTCTCATTTAAAATTTGATAAATTTTTATTTTATTTGATAAAAATATCATATATCCACAACTCACAACTCACCCTCAAAAATTTTACGAATATTTCCGCATGGAGAAAGTTGAAATATCTTTTAAATAAAATTGAAACTTTTTATTGGGTACCTCTGCCGAATGAAAAACATCATTAATTTTTTCATACTTGTGCTTTTACCACACTGTGTAATAATAAACTTTAATCTAGACTTATTTTAGGTTTGTTTACTAGAGCTATAATGGAAAGCTCTTCCAGTTTGTGTCTCTGGGCTCTAACGCGAGAAGCAGAAAATAAGGCGTTCTTTGTTGGCACCCAGGTTGGAGTTATTACAACCGATTCCCAAACTTTATTAGATGCATTGCGAGAAGTGGACTACAAAAAGTTAAAAGTAGCTGAAAATACAGTGACTATAGCGGTGAGTTTTAGATTTAACTCATGGGAAAAAGTTGATAATTCTATTTCGTCAATTTCTTAATTTTAGATTTTTTTTTTTCATTTAGGACCTTAGAAGCTTTTAACACCCGTATTAACTTCATTGACTATAGTAGGCATATTTGCATGTAATTATTATACATTTTAGACATTTGCAATCGGAAATATATTGGCGGGTTTACCATTTGGACCAGTCCAGGAACCTGATAGTTCAGAAGCTGTTATTTCTGGTCGAAGTTACGAAATACTGGAATATGGAAATTACAATAGTGTGTCTACCCTTATAGGGTTCAATTCAAACGAAGGGGGAGCGTTTGAGCAATATGTTGGTGAGTTTAGGAATTAGTTATTTTTGAGCTATGTATTAGAATGTTCTGGATTTTTTCTAAAGGAAAAGGCCAAGCTTGCCCTTGGGGTTTTCCTGTTACTCCAAGCTCCTGTTCCGTCGGCGGTTCTTTGACCACCCTTGTGGTAGTAATAAAAAGGGGTCATTTGGTCCGATCTAATTTGTAGTAAGATCCCTCGATAGATTCCCTCATCTTTAAGTGTGCTGTTTCTGTTTTATTCTCCAAAGACAATGCTTGACGTAGAAGATCCAAGCGCCTCCATTGATGCAGTGATGCATAGGCTGGGCATTGTTGTTTGTTGCATTACTTTTGGCCACTATACCAAGGATGTATATGTACAGAGTGTGTCATTTTGGTTAAAAATCAAACTGTATCTCCGTTATTAGTAAAGATAGGAGGACGCGGTTTGCACAAACCTGTCCAACTTTTTTGTCAAACGGAAGATGCTGTAAGCAAAATTTTCATAGCCCTCTTCGTTTCTGAGCTACTAGACCGAGAGCTGGCTACATAAAAAACCTTATCATCATTACATGGCTAATTTTTTGTGTAAAGTATCCTTTTGTGTAAACATTGTGAAATAGTCATGTCTGCCAGCGCGATCCCGAGGCTTAAAGCGGGGGCGGCCAATCGAAAGGGTGCAATTTTGCACTAAAAAAAATATAAGGTACACGAGTTATAATTGCCAAATAGCTTTTTATTTATTATTAGGAAACGTATAAAATTGTTGACAGACATTTTTCTCGTGGCTGAAATGCCGGCAGACAACGCGAAAGAGGCATAGAATGTTGACAAAAGAAAATCATCGCAAACATGCATGTCGGTTGGTGGAATGTTATGTTTATTGTTAATTAATTTAAAAAGCCGTATGTGCAAAAGGGCAGACAAAAAGTCGTTATTGAAATAATAAAAAAATATATTTATAATATAATCGTATATTATATGATTTATCTATACTTAAATGGTTGAGGCGGCCAGCGTTCCCTGAATAAAGCGCTAGAGTAATATCGCGCTTTTGATAACTGTCTGCAGCTGATTGAGCCACGATCTTTTTGTCTGCCCTTTTGCATACGGCTTTTAAAATAAATAAATATGACATTTCACTAATCGGCATGCAAATATGCTATAATTTTTTTCATTCTTCAAATTTCATTTTTTAATAATTTTTAAAATTTCATGCTTCTTTCGCGTTGTCTGTCGGCATTTTAGCGACTAGAAAAATGTCTGCCAACAATTTTCCACGTTTCTTAATAATAAATAAACGCTATTTTCGCAATTATAACTCATGTATCTTATAATATTTTTAGTGTCAAAATTTCACCCTTTCGATTGGGCGCCCCCGCTTTAAGCCCCGGGATCGCGCTGGCAGACATGACTATTTCATAATGGCTATACAAAAGGATACTACACACAAAAAATTAGCCATGTGACGATGATAAGGTTTTTTATGTAGCCAGCTCTTAGACTATACAGACAGGTCTTTTCAAAAATTTTGCAATTTGAGACAGCCTCCGTATCGTAGTTATTGTGGATGATATCGAGAAGGTGAAAATTGATTCTTGTAGAACTTTTTACGTAGAATACAGTAGTGTAGTCTGGTTTTGTACGAAAAAAATATTTTTGAAAATATGGACTAAATTTATATTTATTTTTAATTGAATGCCCTGTATATTTATAAATCATAATGATTCGTCTTGCTATGAGCTTCTCAAAAGTATATATCACTCTAATTTATCTTCACTATTTATTGCAATATTTAAAAGATATGATTTTCTTATTACTAGGCCGTAATAGATAACAATAAAATCAAAATGGCATTTACTAAAAAAGACATACACTTATTAAAAATTTATTTGGGAATAAAATATTTTACTTTTGAACTGCGCAACTTAATCTCTGAATATATTTTTCTTTTTTTTATAACGGGATGGGTTTGCAAGTATCTAAAAGCTTATCTGATAGCACTTTCCAAGTCTCCAGCATTGTTGTAGTTGCCATAATATATTTCATATTTCAAAAATCCCTAAATACAGAAATCGAAAACAGATAAATCCGGGAATCAGGGAGGCCATCGTATCCAATTCATTGATTTGGGAAATAGTAATTTCAAAAAATGCTGATATTTTCAAAGCTGTGTGGGAGAGCCCCAGTGGTGGACTAAGGGGGGGGGGCGGAAGGGGCGGTCCGCCCCGGGCCTTGTCTTTTAGGGGGCCTCCGAATCTTAATAAGTAATTTTATATTCAACTGGCAAACAAGGCCAATTTGTGTTCAGTAGTAGTTATAAAGCAGTTTGTAGGTGGAGTATGCAAACCATACGTATACTCGAACTACAAACAGTATAAATGGAAGCAGATATTTACTTAATTATCAATTATCAGGCCCAAGTAATTGTCAATGGCATTTTCTATTTAGGAAGTTAAATCAAGGGCTAATTTTCATGGTTTAAAATAACGAATAATTATTTTTTTTATATATATTGAGACTGAATTTATTTATTTTAGCTTTTAAGTTATTTTTCAATGGTTTCATTACTTACATTTTTACTGAATAAACATTTTAAATTACAACCAATGCAGAGCATAACTTGTATTCTAGCTTCATTACTGATGATGAGCAGTGAAGTAGTGAAGTCTTTAGTATAACGGGGGTCACGGGCCTGAGACAGCGAAGGGGCCCTTCGGATCTTGGAGGACTTACAAAATCTAGATCTAGATATTTTGTCGCGGTATTTTTGGACGAAAAAAACTACCTGTCAAAAAAAAAATTGTACAGCCTAAAAGTCAAATTTAGTGATGTGGCAGCCTAAAAGTAAAATTTAGTGTGTAAAGACATGTGGCTCACTGCCGTTCAGTTAAAAGATCGGCCTAGGGGCGGACTTTTGTTTACTTCATCAGCTGTACATACTTAGATATTGGGTTAGATTCCGTTTCATATTTTGTCGGTTGATTTTTGGTTTTAACTCTATGATTTTTGGTATTATTTATTATTGTAGTGCAAAAAACTAATTATTTTGGTGTTTAAGTGACATAAACTACTACCAGATATATGGTAACTCTCGGTTTCGCATAAAAAAATAGAAAAATTGAAAAATTACACGTTGTGTAAGTGATTTAACCTAAAAGTGCCCATACATTTTTTACTTATCGTGATTTTTGTGTGTGTTTTTTAAGACTCTAACAATTCATCAATAAAGCTTAAGTGGAGTGTGTTTTTGGTGCTATGCTTCATCTTTGTTGTGTTCCTGGTGGAAAGGATAGTTATATTAGGCAGCCTAAAGTGTCCGGAAGAGCAAGAAAAGTGGGTACGAATTATAAATCAAGAGAATTCTATTGAAAATATCTTTAATAAATTTAAAAATAATATTCTCCCATGATGGTATTAATGAAAACTAGACAACTATGTTTATTTTATTCATATTGTGGAATCTCCACTCCAAGTGTTGTTGGTTCAGCTTCGATAGATTCAAACACGGAAGTAGGTATTATGATCTAGGGAAAAATAAAGAATATGTGTATTAAAGATCATGAAAAAGATTATTATTTTGAGTTCAAATTTTAAAAAAATTTTTTGTAAAGACAAGACTGATACAGTTTAAAAGAAGAATGTGTTTTTGTTTGATAATATATAATGTATGTCAAGTTGTCAAGCATAACATATATTTGTTCAGTCATTTTTAATGAATAGTGTTGATTATTTATAATACCAAATTAATATCAAATATGTAAGTGATGGCTGAATACAATATGAATAAAATAACAATAAAATTGGTATATTTGCGTAATACAAAATTAAGTTTTAAGAATAAAGGTGTTACTAAACATACTAAGAAATTCATATTTCTTTGTTTTAATTGGTCTAATGTTATTTACATTTTACGTAAGAATTATACCGTATCATCGAAAAAAATCGGCGTCTAGTTGGCTTGGAAATGAACATCGACGACATTCCCCAAATAACTGTACACATAAAATAATTAATTAACTAGAATTTTACAATCTTGTAAAATTTGATATTCTTGAATCTTGTTTCTAAATATACTAAATTTTTTGATTTTCTTGGGATTTAGGTTCGGGAAAAACGCTGATTAAGTTTTCATTTGGTTTTTCATTATTTTTATTTGGTTTAAAAAAAAAACGGTTCGGCTAACATTATAGCCTTCATCAGTGTTGTGTCATATGAAAAAAATAGTGTCGAATATAATCCAAAAAATTACATATAAAATATTCATACCACGCACATAATGTTTACTGCGTACTGCGTACTCCATAGTCAATGTAGATAATTTTAGTGTTAAGAATAATAATTTTAAAAAATATGTGGTCATGTTTTGATTAGTTTATATTAGTTTATTAATTGCAGTAAATATTATGAGGTGTGAATTATATTGTATATGTAATTTTTTGGATTATATTCGACACTATTTTTCTCATATGACACAACACTGATGAAGGCTATAGTTAGCCGAAACGTTTTTTTAAACCAAATAAAAATAATGAAAACCCAAATGAAAACTTAAATCAGCGTTTTTCCCGAACCTAAAAATCCCAAGAAAATCAAAAATTTTAGAATAATTTTACATATAAAATGCCAGCGATCTTCATTTCATAGCCATCGCTGACGCCTTTTTTAGATAATATTGTATTATTTGTAAATATAATTTTTCGAAGATTGATACTTGCAAGATATACATATAAATTTTGTGAATGCAAATAATAATACATCACTATTATTAGATATTGAATGTTTTTTGTTAAATTAGATCGATTTTCAAACCCCAAAATTTAAAATATATTTACATTTTACCCATTATGTTATGTACCTATACACTATTTGTACATCGTAAAACATTTGCTGCATTTGTATGGTTCATAGTTTATTTGCCAAAGTATTTATTACTATAAATAGGTATATATGTTGTAGTTATTAACTGTATATTATGTATATTTCATGTAAACTATATCATTTTTAAAATACAAACCAAAAATCTGAGGAATAATTATGTTTTCCATGTATTCTACAACATATTTATTAATCCGTTATATCTAACTAGCGTGACGTCATAAATCTCGCCCGCAGGCTGATCTTTTAATAGAAGGCACTGTGTGGCTATCTATTTCAAAAATTAAATTGTTCAAATGTCATATAATAATGGCGGTAGCTATCATGGAATTGACCGATTAAAAAATTATCATAAATAATTTTTTTTCAAATGGAAACCCACTTTTTTATTTCACTAGTGAAAAGGTTTTCCAATTCGTTACGTTTTAACTAGACATATTCCTATACCTGAAATAATTCGTTTTTAAGTTATTTAAGATTTAGTTTGAAAACGTATATTTTTCGTGATTTTATTTAGCGTCCTTTGACATTAAGTGTCAAACAGTAAGACAATTTATTTCCATCTGTCAGAAAATGAATTATTTAAATTTTCTATGTTATAACTAATAACTACTGCTGCTTAAAAGTTTAAAAAGTGTATTTTTATGAATATATCTCGTATTTTCTTCTTTAGTGATATCTAATAGTTGATATTTTAATAATATACCGTACGATCGAAAAAAAAACAGCGCAAAGTTAGCTTGGAAATGATGATCGATAATATTTATACTGTCGGCTACTGGTTAAAATCAAGAAAAATATACGCTTTAAAGCTAAATCTTAAATAACTTAAAACGATTTATTTTAGGTACAGGAAAGTAGTCAAAAAGTAAAAAATTTTAAAAATGAAAGTAACGAAAGCCTTTTCACGAGTGAAATAAAAAAAGTGAATATCCATTTGAAAAAAATGATTTATGATAAATTTTTAATGGTTCAATTCCATGACAGCTGCGGCCATTATTATATGACATTCGGACAATTTAATTTTTGACATAGATATCCACATGTCTTCTCTTTATGGTACAGTGGCTGTGACAATCAAAAAGTACGCTATATACTATATATACGAGAGAATATAAAGAATTTATTAGTGGCTCCTAAAATAAAAGAAGAGACAGATAGCAGTATACAGGGTGGTCCGAACTGTATTCCGGAAACTTCGGCAACATGTTCTTTAGATAAAAATAAGTAAAAAAGTTCGTATAAATGTATGTCTTAAAATGCTTACTTTCAGAGATACAGGGTGCAGAAGTTTCATTTTTATTTCAATTTTTTCTAAATAATTTCTGAAGTAACGTCAATATTTGGATGAAAATTGGTGTCTGGGAGTTTTTTGACATGAGAAATTTCATTTTGGTGTAAATATGACTCCTACTAGTAGAGGGCGCCACCCACATGTTTTTTAACTGTTTTGAAGCGTAATAACTTTTTACGTAAAAAATATCTTTGTTGATTTGTAAAAATCACTACGAGCAACCGTTCTTAAGATATTTAGAATGGAAATAGACAATATATGTCATTATTGACGAAAAATAAACACGTTGAGTATATAGTAGTTATTTCACTGAAATAATAAATTTAGGAAATTTTTATTATTTTCTAATTAATGATAAATTTTTCTGCAAAAAATGATGATAAAACAGTTTCTGTTGAACTTTTGGCACAAAAACATTTCAAATTTATGATTTCAGTCTAATAACTATTTAGTCAACAATGTTAATTTATGTCAATGATGACCGGTATTGATAATTTCGATTCCAAATATCTCGAAAACCATTACTCGTAGCGATTTTTACCAAGAGACCTTTTTCACGTAAAAAACGTCGGTAATGTATATTTTTTTACTCAGTAGTTTTATACAGGTACGGACGAAAAGTTATTACTCTTCAAACCAGTTAAAAATTATGTAGGTGACGCCCTCTACAAGTAGGAGTCATATTGACATCAAAATCAAATTTCTCATATCAAAAAACTCCCAGGCACCAATTTTCATCCAAATATTGACGTTACTTCATAAATTATTTGGAAAAAATCGAAATAAAAAAACTTCTACACCCTGTATTTCCGAAACTAAGCATTTTAGGACATACATTTATACGAACTGAGCGTACTTTTGCTCTTTATTATCTTGTCGTGAGAAGCGTAAATTTTCATGGTAACGACAGCTATGATGTAAAAATACACACAAGTCAGTCATGGTTAGCAAAATGTGCGATCACATATTATTGTGCGAGGTTTTAAAAATTTGCATTTTGTTTATTTGTTGGACACATAAATTAAATATAATATTTTTGTTTTAGCCATAGCAGCTTTGATTCTCCTGGAATATGATCTTCAATTGTCGAGATTCGCCCCTTACGATCTAACAGACAATGACGAAACGAAAACATTGGTAGGGACTGAAATTAGACTTCACTACTTTGGAGTGGGACTGATTAGTTTGCAAGCTTCAAATCTCATTACGGTAAGGGTAAAACCGTTTTAAAGCAAAAAAAACACAAAAAGAACGATACGTACGAAATAATATATTTTTGAGTATTGATAATGATTTGTGTGATGTTTGTCACTAACTTTATAAATATATTTTTTCATTTTCAGTTCGCCGATGTCGACCAGTTTGTTAGACCAATTCGAGAAACGGTTAATTTAATGTCTCAGTATGGTGATGTTTATTATTATGAATTTTCCTACGAAGGAGATTTAGGAAATTCTGATCGTGATTTCGAAGGTATGAATTAGTGATATTTATTCAGAATTACTAGATATATACAGCAAAATAAAAACACTAAATCACCGCAATACACCAAAACACTTTTACTTTTACACTGGACGCGCGTTTCGCTAACCATGTTAGCATCTGTTGATGATGCCAAACCAAACCAAAGGTTCCAACCCTCAACTGTAATCAGATATATACAATACACAATTTTGTGTTGCTATTCTAGTACATCTGATAATCTTCGATAGAACAACTTAATTATTAAGATCTTCTATCTAAGATTACCAGATGTTATTGAAATCTAAAATATTTTAGGAAACAAAATTAAATAAATTATAAATACATTAACAGTTATTATATTTACACCAACAAAACTCACCTTCTTAGCAGCACTTAAGGGGCATAAAGGGCTATTACTACCGCTTTTCCGTTAAAAATATTCTAATAAAGTTACTATGAGTTTTTTACGGCTATTAATGTCAGAAATAGATAAATAAATGTGGTAACTTGACATTTTTTACAGCAGCGAAAAATTAAAATCCGGTTGATCAGCCCGACGCCGACGCCGAATATGTCCATGGTTGGCAACAATGTAACTAAAAGTTTAATTGGTATTAAATATATATAAAAATATTTTTTTTTTCAATTTTCTTTGGCTTTTTTATTATATTTTAAGTTTTTAAATCTTGGTTTTAAGCAGGGTTGGCATGGTTCATCAAATGATTTAAATCATGATTTAAATCAAGTGATTTTTTTAATTTTAATCATGTGATTTAAATCAAAAAATCAACTTTTTTAAAACTTTACAATAAATCGAAAAATAAATGTAAAAGTTATAAAAATGTGTCCTAGAAAACTATACAAAATATTTCTATAACATATATACCCTATATCTATTCGTTAAATAAAATGTTACACTTGCTATTGTTACATTTAAATACGTTTAATAAATCGACAAAAAATTGTAAATGTTATAAAACTATATAAAAAATGATTTGTATAACACATATTATACCTACTACATATCTATTCATCAATTAAAATGTTGGACCGATTTTTGAAGTAATTTCGTGTGAATCCATGACTGCTAAAGGGCAGGGATTTATTTTGAAATTTATGTACAAGTGACAAATAAAATGATGTTCGAATACATTTCATTCGCAACCTGTAGTGCAGAAAAAGCTTCTATTGATGATCTTCTATATCTTCAAAGCGTTGTCAGAAAATATGCTGTTTTATATCTTTTTATTTTACACTTTGACAATAGATAATACTAATTTCGTTCCCGACTTAAGACTATTTCCGATCAATAGTGTATTGTGTAAGGAATAAAAATTATACTTTTTTTTGACGAGGTTGTACGTTTGACGGACTAGCGTAAACAGGGAGGCACAAAAGTACATTTTTACTCCGAGTAGAATATACTATATTTTTACAAATTAAACATTACAAATAATTTTTTAATCAATTCCAAACGTTGCAAATAATATAAAAAGTAATGCCTTGTAAGTAATCGAGTAACAATTTGTACACTCGTTGAAATTGACGCTTAATATCAGTATAATAATATATTTTTTGTACTTTTGGTGCTTAGGCGTAAAAGTGCTTTACTTTTATGTCTAGGCGTTGAAATTACAAAAATAAGGGAATGGTAAAAATAAGTGGCATTTCAAAAAAAATCCTTATGATCTGAAGCGAGCAACTTTTTTTGCAGAATATATTCGTGACCGATGTCTGGAAAAATGACATGGGTTATCAGTATGCGGGCAGAGTTATGAAGATTTAGCCATTTAGGATAGGAATTTAATTGGAATTGAGTCCTAATTATTTGAAAATCGGATTTAAATAATGTTTTCTATTAAAATCAAAAAAATCAAAAAAATCTGATTTAAATTTAAAATATTCTGATTTTTTTTTAAAAAAATCATGATTTTTTCCAACCCTGGTTTTAAGTCAGTAGTATTTAGTTAATAAGACGAAACTTTTGTTTACATTTTGATAAAATTGACGTTTCGACCAATTTTAATTCGGTCTTCTTCAGAATCACAAACGTAGAACATCATTTCCGTTAACAATAACATTTTAAAATTCAAATAAGAAACACATTTAGGACTTTTACAATTTAAAATATAAATAAATCACAACACGAGTATAAGTCATCCGTTAAAATTAGATCTAATTTTAACCGATAACTTAACCGATGAGTTTATCCCTAATTTATTACGGATTTATAAATGCTAATAGTATTTTATTTATTTTTCAGGTGTCGGTCATGGAGAAGAACTTAACTATTTATTTTATACTGGTGCAGAAGCAGATGATGAAGATCAACTAACGCGAGAAAGACTAGTCACATTATGGACGAATTTTGCAAAAACGGGGTAATACATGTGTATTAAATAAAATCTAAAACCTTTAATTATAATATTAATAATAAAAGTATATAAATAAACGATAAAAAAAACCAAAGTTGAATAAAATAATAATTATTTTTTTTTTATTTCAGAGATCCTCTATCATATGACTATTATGGGGTACTTGAAAATGTGACATGGATACCGAACACTGCCGACACTAATACAACTGAGACTGTGTACTACTTAAACATTAACGATACACTTACTTTAGAAACTAATCCATTTCAAACCGATTGGGAGTATTACGAAGATATTTATGAAACATACGGAAACGAATCTTATTACACAACATATTAAACTGTCATTACATTAAAAATTAAAACAAATAAACATATTAATAATAAAAGTTGTGTTTTTTACCAATGTTATTCATCAGCACGAATTCTTAATTTTTCTAAAGAAGAGCCATGCCATAATATAAAAAAAACTATCGTTGGTGTGGGCTGGGAAATAAAGATTACTACCATATTACACGTAAAATTATATAAATAAATCGACATTTTCAAGCTCTACAAATTCACATAACTTTTGTGAACTTTTGTCATAATGTCACAGAGTATGATAGGCATGTTTTTAATTGTGTGATGAAAACTAAATTAACAAACCCACACATAATTTTATACAATAATTTAGTATGAATTAAATGTTAAGACTATATTACTATCAATACGTTACAAATATTAATTATATTAAAAAATCTACATATATAAAATGCTAATGTTTATCTGTGTCGTCTCTACTGAAGTAACGACTTGCTCTAGAAAGTTGCTTTTTTACTAAAAGATAGCTAATTGGCTCTTCTAAAAACTGTCGTCGCCGTATTTTTTGTTTTTCATTTAATTAAAAAAATAAAAAGTATTTTTTTCCTGATGTCGTGGCGGATGCGCCAGGCTTCAGCTAGTATATGTATAGTAAACGCCACGAATGTTTGGGAGTGATTCATCACTTGATGAAGTTAGAATCGACACGCGCGCTATATATAATAAGTAGGAGACTTATTCTCTAAAATGTTAGCGTGATTGACAAAGACGATACTATATCGCTTTTCTTTGATTGATTCGTTTTTGTGCGTCATTCCATTGGTATGCTTGCAGTGCGACCAATGGGGCATTCCATTTTATATTTATAACCAAATATATGTTTTGAGAAGACTTTGACAGTTAAAACAACAAATTACAACAGATTATATATTGATTATTATAACGACTTGAAACACCACGGCACTGGAATTAAGTTTTATTTAACCTTGAACAGATTAGTTCACATGGTAGCGACCTTTGAATAAGAAGACTAAGGAAGGAGCATAATGCTATCCATGTATTCATGCATGGTGGGCGGAAAAAGCTCTCTAGGGTGGGGATCCTTGACAGTTCTGTTTGACGCTTCATTTGACACATTTGAATTTGATTTGAAATTTTGTGGATTTGTCAGTCTTTACGGAGCTTATTTTATGTTATTTATTATTTATTCTACTACTGATAGTTGTATAAAGGTAGTAAATCTAGATGAAAATTGTGGCAGAACTTAAATTAACAGTGACACTATCGCGATTTATCGAAAAAGACTCTAAAATAGTTGGTTGTGTAGCGTGCGGTAGATCTCGGCAAAAATTGAGTGAAATAATGGACCAACTTTTCGCTAGTAAGTGACTATATAATATACATATGTATAGTAAACCGATCATTTATGAAATTCACTTAAATTAACTAAATTATATATTTTTCTTGCATTTTAGCTTTTATTTATTACTTGTCAAAGATTAGATGTCAAAGAATTTAGATACCAATACGTTAAGTTGACTTACCTACTTCAGTAGGGTATCGCATATTTGTGTTAATAAATACTTATTATAACTTATCTATTTTTATTAGAATTATATATTTTTATAACAATTTTAATAACTACCAACATTTATTCACAACGTAAAATAAAATAACAAATTATTGAGTCTACCCCACGTCTACCCTACATCATAGTTTTACATTTTTTAAATAAAATTAGAACGGCACTGATAAACCGGAATTTAAGTCGGCCACATTTGAGGCCCATCGCGGTGTACCTAAGATTTTTGATATGCTCCTTCCTTAGTCTTCTTATTCAAAGGTTTTGACCCTGTTTTGACAAGACTTTGACAGTTAAAATAACAAATTACAACAGATTATATATTGATTATTATAATGACTTGAAACACCACGGCACTGGAATTAAGTTTTATGTGACCTTGAACAGATTAGTTCACATGGTAGCGACCGATAAATCACTCCCAAACATTTGTGGCGTTTACAGGTAATTTTCTAAATATTCAATAAATTTTAGTAAAATGTAGTTAGGTTATGTTATCATAAGAAGTCAAAATACATTAATTCGATAATTAAATATTCTTTTGGATTGATTTCCGATTAGATACAAATAGCTTGATCATTGAAATTGATCTTTGATTTATTGATTTGGATTAACAAATGCTTTTCTTTCTTTAATTTAATTGTAATTTGCTTTGAGAAATGCTTTACCTGGACCGTGTACTAAGACCAGAAATCAGCATTTCCTCTCTAAATTCAAAAGCAATAAGCATACCAGTAAAATATGCATAGGAATTAGAAGATATTAAAATAACCGATTGTTAATATAATTTTCTTATCTAATCTTTTTTTAAATATCGGTTATTCACCCAAAGGTTATTGTGCCGAGTTCAAAATTGAAAATTGTTTAGGTCTGGTTTTTTTAATATTCTGGATTGTTGGCACTATATTCTAGATCGTATAATCTGGATACGTCGTTAGCCCAGCTACAGCTATTCAGATTAGGCTTAAATTTATTTAAATACATTTTATTGATCCTAATCCATAGAGAGTTAACTATTGTACGTTTATATAGTTGTTACTTGGTATAGTATACCCAGAATTATAAATTTGCATTAATATCTCTACGAAGATATTTTGAATTTTGAAACATTGAAACAGTGTGTATTTTCGAGTAAAATACTATGCTTATGTGGCAGGCGGATTTTTAGCGGTTTTTTGGTTCATAACTTTAAAAATATCAACTTTTTGTAAATAATTTTTCTATAAAAAATTAAAGTACATATATTTTTTTATAAATTTTGTTAATTAAGGGCAGGATAATAAAAAATAAAATTTTTATATTATACATATATAAAATGTGCCTAAATAAAAGTACATGTATTGTTGCAGATGAAAGAATCCACTGTCATTATTTGTTAAAAGAGAAAAGTATAGAGCGCATTATGGGTGGTAATTCTTAAACTATGAAATTTAAATGAAGTGAAAAAGTAAAACCCCTTGCAATAATGAACAAGTCTGTACAGATATTACTCTGTACAGGATGTTTCATGAAAAAAAATTGTTAGCAAACATCAGATTCGTATTTAGCGCGCCAAAAACATAAAGAACAAAATAAATCAGAACTACATCAAAACTTTCCTCAGAAAAATACAATTTGACTAGACTAATAACCTCACAATTACACTACAAGTAAAGTTATAGAGAGTCTATTCTGTTTAGTACTAGCTGGTAATCTTACTGTTTTGGTGACTAAAACCGTAGATTGAAAGAATTCTTCAATCAACGCTAAAACTAATGGAGTTATCATATTAACTAAAATCCATAAATGGTTAGGTATTATAAGTTTATATTTTTTACGTAATGAATTGATAAATAGACTGGAATGTCAAAATAATTTGAATTGTTTTAACATAAAATAAATGATTTTGTTTGCTTAATTGAAAATAATCCCGCAGCTCAAATGTACTGTTTGTCAAAATATCATTTGCTCTGATATATACAGGGTGTAAATGGATCAGTGAGAAAAGAATCAGGAAGTGACAGGTTATATTACAAAAAATAATTATTTTTTTACTGTCATAATCTAATCTACTCTACTTTACTATCATAATCTAAATACTATCAATAATAATTTTTTTTATTTATAGTGTTCCCTGCTGATATTATATCTAGACTCAGAAGCAAAAAAAAACGCAACGGAAAATTTTTCGTCAAGTTTAAAATGTTTCAATATTTTTTTTATTTTTTTAGCTCAATTTCTTTGATTTTTTTACTATAATATAAATATATCAACTTTAATTCGTATACTCAATTTATTATAAACTTTAGTATTTGACTTAATATGCAAGGTTAATTGAAAAGTTGCTTTTTACCTCATCTTTAAAACACCCTGTGCAATAATTTCGTGAGCAAATTGTCCTAAAACATTATTTTTCGGTCAGAACTATGTCTCCTGAATATTTTGTTAAGGTTAATTTTTAAGAGCAAAATGAATTAGCCACCAACATTTTGCAATTTTTTCAATTATCGTTACTTTTTGATGTTATCCTTCATAATGACCAGGTAGTTTTGGTGATTAGTGTTGTGTACGATTGAATATGGTTCTTAGTGTCGAAGAGAAGAGAAAAGAAGAGAAGAATGGGAAAACATAACGCAATATATTTACGGCCTCATTAACAGTATGAACTGACATAAAGTTATAACAGCCGGGGGAGGCAATACAAAGTATTAGAGTATTTTTTACGAGTTTTTTATTTGTTTGGACACTTAGTTATTACATTTATTTTTGCAATAATCTTAGTTCTGTTAATGTTACTAATATTTATTAAAACCAAGCCTGTGTCGTTACTTTTCAACGTTTTTTAAATTTTAATATAGAGTTCTAATCAGTGTCGATATGACCTTACGACAATAGTCATAAAAGCCAGCGTGATATTAAAAAATAACATCATAAACTAATGATAGTTGAAAAAATTGCAAATTGTTTGTGGTAAGTTCATTCCGCTCTTAAAAATTAACTAGGGTATGTGTTGACATGAGTCAAAGTACAAAATGCTCAGGTGGCATGGTTCTAATCGAAAAATAATGTTTTAGGAATATTTTTAGGCATATTTTATTTGTTAAAAAATGTAGTAGACACGGACAACATTTTAGACTACGATATTGATGAACTAGTACAGTCACCACCATTTTTGGCAGTTATTTATTTACACCCTGTATGTAAATTGGCTTTTGTATGGAATATTTAGTTTACAACTAATAGGAAAAAATGTTCCGTTCATAATTTTATTGTCTCTATTGTATAGTACAAATACTTTTATTACTAGTGTCTTAAATATCCAAATACGAACTAAGTAAATCGGTAGACTAACAAATATTGACACATATATGAAACATCCATATAGATAATATAGAAGAATGCCTATATAAATTTATTTTGTGTAGGCCTTTCTTTAGATCAAAAATAGTGTAAGATCCAATTTTCAAAATGCGTCTTTTCTGGAGCTGTATTTTAGTATTTAGTGTTGTTTACGTTTTCCAATAC